TGATATGGCATAAATCCTACTTCATTTCTCGTTCGCATATTTCGCCCCCCCGCCCCTATGTACTGCTTATTCAAATACTCACCTGGTTCTTGTATATTCCCCAGTGGACTCTCTGGCAGCAGTATACCCTTTTGTACAAGCTCCTCACGATTGGCACGTACTGATATTTTGCGTTCAAGTGCTGCGAAGCAAACGAGAAATCGGGATGTGGATAAAGCAAGTTGTTGTTGTGGTTATTAGCGATAAAGTGAAAAACAAATAGCAAGAAAAAAGGACAAGTACAAAACTAAAGCAACTACATATATGTACATATGTAGTATAGTAAAGGTAAGCGAGCGCGCTGCAAATGATTTTCAAAGAAAATCCCAAATACATACATACATACATACGTACAATGCGGGTAGCATACCCCCTTTGCCGCCAAGTCATGGTGTTAGTGAATGAAATAGTGTGCTAATTAGTATGTGAATTAGTGTATTGGTGACTTAAATTAGCTGTAGCGGTAAGTAATATAAAGTACCATATACATATGTACTTAAATCTATGTAAGCGTATGTATGTATAGCTGAGCATTTGATGGCTACTTACACTTTGAAGCTGCTTCGAATTTTTCACTCTTCTTTTTCCGTCGCCATTTCCATGGTTTAAAGAATCGCCCCAAAGCACTAAACTTACTTTTACGCTCGAGCGGGGGTGTGCGTGTGCCGGAGCCGAGACTGTTTGTACGCAAGGCAGCACCATTTTGCTTTTTGGCTGAAAGTGAAAAAAATAAAATAAAAATTATTAGTATGGTTCAGCTTAAAAATTAATAAATGTTGAGGGATATGGTGGGACGACTAATCAATGTACATATTATTCTAATGAAACCTATCACTTTCACTATATTGTTGTACACCCCCAAAGCGAAATAATACATATGTTATATGAATCTTTAGAACATTTTTGGGTATGCAGTTTTATAGCACAATTCACAAAAAATGGTGTTGATTTTTTTACTTTTGTTGCACTTCATTAGACTAAAATTGTATGGGCTATAAAACTGCATAACCAAAAATGTTCTAAAGATTTAGATTAAAAAGTTTAAATTTTCATGAAAATTTGTTGAGTTTTCCTAAATTTTTTATAAAGTTTTAAACTGTGATTCATATAGTTTTGATTATCTATTAAAATAATAGTATTTTTATAAAAAAATAATAAAAAAAAATTTAGCTCGAAAAATATTACGAATATTAAAATAAAAATCAACACATGGTCACTTGTTTGAGTCACTGTATGTAAGTTTTAGTCACTAACTCATATTTTTCCAAAAAAAAACTTTTCGAAATTTTCAAGGACATTCATGGATAAAATTAAAAAAAAAAACATTTTCAATGCCTATTCGTCCTAGTGCGCCAAAAAATTTAATTTTTTATGTGTAAACACTTAGCTCTCGGTATGGGAAAATTTGCGTTAACCCAGCAGAAAATTTGCAACTGCTTCGGGTGTAACCCGGCAGAAAATCTGTAAAAGGAACACTTTTGGCCTAGTTAACGACTATTTGAGACCCATTTCGAGATTAATTCCGGATCTTTTCATAACTATTTCAGGACTATTTGGAGACTTGTTTGGGGTTATTGCGGGACCTGTTTAGGAGCATTTCGAGTGCACGACTAATTGAGGAACATTTTACGACTAGTTCGTGGTCATTTTGGGATTAGTTCAGGATCATTGCGTGACTATTTTAAGAGCATTTTGGGAATAAAAAGGGATCATTTCGGGACCGCTTTAAGGCTTGTTCGAGATCATTACCGGACACGTTTGCGGTTTTTTCGGGACCACTTCAGCACTGTTTTAGAACAAGTTTTTGACTAGTTAGAAACTAGTTTAATGTTTAATTTTTAGCCTAACCTATTTATGTATGTCACTGAATGGCCTAATGTTATGCCAAGGCGTACACAGTAATACCTGATACCTTTTATTCAACATTGCACTGAATTTTTTATACAATTTTTTTAATTAAACATATCCTCGAAATATTAAAGATCTTTGAAAAAATCCTGACGTCAAAGTAAAAAATTAAGAAAGCAGTTTTGCTATATTTAAGTAGTTTCGCGAGTATATTGTTATTGTTTCGTACATACTACATATGTATTTCGAAAAATAACAAAAGATCGCTAAAATAGGATATGAAAAAAATTTAGAAAAGCCGCTGATGATCTTAGAAAATAAACTGAAAAATCACTGAAATAAAACCGAAAATATATAGAAATATCCCAATATAGGCAAATTCCGAAGAAAACCGCGGAAACTCTAAAAAAAAAAAATCGGTGATACATGAAGTCTCAGAAAAATACACCAAAAAATCATGTAAAATTCGTAAAATGTATCCATAGATGGGCGTAAAGATCCCGAAAACGCTGAAAGCTACCCGAAAAAATTAAATACTAAAAGAATCATAAAAGTCACGAAAAGCCCCAAAAAATAAAAAGCGAAAAGATTCAGAATATTTCAGATAAATTTTTAAGAAAAATTCCAAACAAACCCCAAACTTTCGTAAGATCTGGAAGAGTATTCAAAATGCGAAGATTTGCAAAAAGGTCCCGGGAAAATTATGGAAAACTCGTGAGAAATGTTGGAAAAGCCCGAAAAATCAGAAAATATATAATTTTATTATCCATGCCTAAAAAATTAAAAGCAAATATTACCGAACAGTTTCTGTTACAATATTAGGTATTTTCAAATTGGACTAGCTCACGTAAATCTTAATATTTTTCCGAAATATATTGGCGATAGTCTTAAAATATAATTCCGGTGGAAAAACCGCAACTTTTTTGGTGATGCTGAGGAAATTGATTCCTTAAAGATAGATGGAAAGCGAAGGATTATATTCGGGATTAAAGACAGCACTTTTCACAGATTTGTTAGCCTCACATGTTTTAAAACTCATACTAACGATATTTTATGTTTTCCTTCAGGGTCAGAAGTCATTTAGATACTTAGTACCTATAACTCCCATCTTCAATGCAAAGTGTAGCGACCTAATAATTGAACCGAATACAAACTCTTACTATCCGGGTTGTGGAAATGTGGCAAAGTTGGCGGTTTACGAGTGCAATATAAATAACAGCAAATACTAATTACTCAATAGCAAATACAAAAACTAAAATGAACAGGAAATAGCACTTTATGTCACCAGTATGACTTTAATTATTTATATGTACTATACACGTCAGTGGAGGTGGTGTTAGCGCCACAAATTGCCCGAATGACTGCAAACTTCCGGCCCCACTTCGTTGCACTGAGGAATTTTCAGATTGCCTGACAGGCAATGGGGACATTGCAACATGACAAGCTAGCCAACAAGTGTCAATGCATATTTGTAGTAGATTAATTGCGATAACAAGTTGAGTGAGTGACAGAAGGTGAATAAAGAATTTGCAAAAAAAACACACACACAAAATAAATAAATGAAACAGAGATGCCAGCGAAAGCAAAAATATTGGAAAGAGAATATTAAATGAGATGAGTGCATGGACTTACCAATCGAAAATGAAAAGGATTGCATGGAAATGTCTGTAAGTAATTCTGAATGTACTTAAATTTCACCACTATTCACACTGACTGTAGTAAGAGATATACGGTTAAATATCAATGGGGCAAGTTTCGAATAACTAAGCATTTCGAAGTAAAGTATTTATTTACATTGGAGACATCATATCGCATTCCATATCGGTTTTTTTTTTCATAAACCAAATCAAGTCAAAGAGATTTTTATTAACCAAAAATTCATAGGGAGTGAAATGAATATTATGAATTTTGGCAAAATCCGTATAAAAAATGTATGCATTCATTGATAGGACCTACCCTAATGAGATGGTGGTACACAGTGCCCAACTAAATGAGCAAATATGTTGAGGCATTTGTATATTTAACACATCTTTTTATGGTAGGCATATTGATTATTCAATTAAATCAAGGCACTTGTAGAGATGGGATATTAGACGGTAACAAATTTAGGAAATTCCATTAATTCTGTAGGCACGAGCAAAACGTAATTTATCTAAATATAGACTACAAAATTCTGTCAAAAAACGACAAAATTACAGATGAAGCGACATGGAAGACTCAACAGGAGCAAGCGATAGCAATGTGAGCGGTGTGAAAATGTGTCTGGCGACGAAAATATACTTATCGATTAAATTATACTTTTTTGGTACCAGATAATAAGAAACGACGTTTGCTTGTGATTAACTGCAAATGTAGTGGTAAGACCTTTACAAATGAAAAACTCGAAAAGTTCTTATCAGGATATTAGCAAACTATTTATCTTTTTTAAGAAGACTAATCTAGTTACCTTTATTGCTAATCATCTGTTTAAGATTATGCTTGGGATTTAGATTAAAATTTAAATTGATACCAAGATAATTGTTCTTTATAACGCAGCTACGACCACTAACTTTTCTAATAACGGTCGCCCCTGCCCATTTCTGCCATGAAAACCAACTTTGAAAACCAACTTCTCATAAACAAAAATCGCCTTTGGGAGTCGGCGTACACTGAGAAATAGGATTAGTTTCGACAACTAAAGATATTTAGTTCCCGAATTTTGACAATATTTGGGAACTGTTACCAAGGATTGGGAACTATTACCATCGATTGGTAATTATAACTAAATATATTAAAGCTTCTAATATTCATCTAGGTTGTAACAAATCGTTACTTTAGTTGAAGGGTTTGGTTAATACTAATAAATATTTCTTTGAAGCATATTTCTACAAATTCCATTCAACTTAACGTATGGTTCATAAAAGGATGTTATTAAGCTCTGCTAATGCAGATAAGCTTTCTTTCAACACGTGGTTTAGTCATAGTTACCAAATCTTAGTTGAGGCAACCACGATTTGGTTTGAGAGTGGAACATATTCATGCTTATGAGCCACCCCTAAAGAATGCTGAGCGCTCTCTGAGCACATACGAAGAGCGCCAGCTGAGCAATGCGCACAGTCCCACTTATTGAATCGTTTGAATGCGCTAGTATGCCGACCATTGCATTGTGCGTGGAAATCATTGCTCCGCTACCGCTGTTCGTATATGGGTGAAACACGCATGTGGTCCCAGAGAGCTCAGTAAGCTATGGCATGTCGATCGCTGCGCCATGTGTGCTATGACATGCCCATACTTGTTTGTCTCAGTTTCAGTTTTGCTATCATCGCGAGTTGTTTCGGTGCGCGCATAGTTTAAAGTTTAATTAAAAATATAAAGTTGTATGCCAACCGGGGTTTTTCAGTGGATATATAATTCATGTGAATTATAATTTGAAAGTGTCTATTTAGCTAAGGAAAAAGCAAAGCAGTATACTTCCAGCAGATATTGACCTGGGTTTTCGCACGACTGTTCCTGTTTCATCGTTGTTTTTTAAGAAATTCTTAACACCATATACACATGTATTATTTACTTTAGTAACTAACTTATGTAAATATGTACGTATTTTTATGCTTAATATATGCAAATAAAAGAAGAAAGTAAACACAACAAACATCGAGTAAATTTTTATTTGTGTCAAACTGAAACTTTTTTTCCAACAATAAACGGCTAGCTGATTCAAGTCTACAGCAAGTTCACAAAATTAATTGAAAACTTGTATAAACCAAAGCATTGTTTATATTTGCTCAGCAATGATTTTATTCAACTAACAATATTGTCCAATCAAGGTAGTCGTTTTGTAATTATTAACAAATATACATTTGTCCCAACTAGAAGTCTTAAGTAAATTG